CTTGCTTGTAGAGTCTAAAAACAAAAGAAACAATTTCCACCCCCCTGGTGGGGACAGATTATTGCTTAATAATAATACCACTTTCTTTTACAAATTTCCTTGCTAATTGCAAGAAAAACAGAGGAATTGCCCCCACATTTTCCTGCGGGCCGGGTTTCAATGGCTTTTATCTTTTAAGGGTTATGGGGAAATTATCCCACTGTTTAGTCATTAAATCCCTGAGTTTTCCTTCTTATACAGCAGACCAAGTTTATAATGTTTTTCCTGCTGTGTTAAGCTTTAAGTTTTATTTACAGGTAATAACTGAGAAGCATCATTACCATACGACCTTAAAGGGTTTTTCCAAAAATCATACACACTATACGTTGTTACAGGGATACGTATTATCATTAAATTTATTAAAATTATCTTTTTATCCCATGCCTTTTATTTAGACAATTTGTTTGCTGACCAGGTGTGTCCTTTATCTGCAGCTCCTTTGTGCTGCTAGTTCTTTCCTTCCTTTATCATTTAGGTCATTTGCATTTTCACAGACGCTTCCTGCTTTTGGATTTAAAGCCATCAGCAGCTCAGAGACTCTGTCTTAAAAGGGACACAATCAACTTTCACCAGAGTTTTGATTACTTTTAACTTCTGCTTCCAAAACACACAGCAATCTGAAAAAGAAAACCCAACCTATTGTGGCTCCCTTTGGAGCCCTAACAGCATTTTAATTAAGTAGCATGGTATGTTTGCATTTCTTTTGCCCCTTCTACAATATACCCTGCACATGTTCTGGGGCAAATCACATTCCTTCCATAGTTTAACTTCTATAACATTATCCAGATCCATTTTTTACATAAGGTGTCACTATTTCTTTTTTTTGCTTACAGAGTTTTCATGTACCTTTATCAAAGTGACAGTCTGATTACTCAGAGCCATTTTAAGACTCAGTGTTTCTAACATTGCTTCTTTTTGTTTTGTGCACTTCACCCCTGCTGTTGCTTCAGAAGGGCACTGTCTTTTTTTTTTTTTTTTCTACAACTCTCATCTGCTATTTTGCTACAAAAACAAACAAACAAAAAGAATCCAGAATTTTTTTTTCTATTCTCCTGATTTTGACTGCCCTGCTGCAGCCACAACTTAAAAACATTTTAAATTTTGTAAAGCATTGAGTTACCTTTTAAGGGTTAAATGCCAAATCCCAAAGCCAAACAACACTAATTACCTGTGTCTAGCAAAAAGGTCTGTCAGTTTTGCAACTTTGAATTAAAGAGTCAAATGGATTTTTAATGGCATTATTTAAAACAAAAACAAAACCAACTGGTCCTTAGAACTTCACATATTTACACACACAGAGACAGATACATACACATTTTCTTTCCCTTAACATCCCTTCCACACTGCTCTGTTTTTTTTTTTTACATCTTACATTCCCTTTATACATTTGAGGCAGTTAAGTTCCAATAGAACACCCTTACATCCTTTAGTGATTTTGATTACATTACCCAATAGTCAAACAATTTTGATCAGATTCTCTCTCTGCCTGCTGCCTGCAGCAGTCCCTTATAGATCATTTCTGTGGGAAAAGGGCCCATTTTCCCTCAGAGTAGCTGTAAAGGCTTCTGGGGACAGAAGCGTAGTGCTGGTAGTAGTCACTCTACCTGACCCTCTTAAAGCCTAGACCATTTTTCCAGAAATTTACAGGAGTCCGGACTCTTCCTAAAATACATAAACTGAGCCGGCGTTCCTTTAGGGAACTGTCCCGACTTAGACGTCTGGTTACCCATACAGGAGAACTTTACACACCAATCACACAAGAAGGAAAGTCGGGTTCGTCAAAGCGATGCCCGGTGCAACACACAAAAGGACCCCACAGGCTACTGCCTCAATCGCCCTTGCTTTCACACCAAGGGTTTTACCCAAGGCGCGGTGCGGCTGCGATTGTGCAGATTTCACTCACTCAGACCGTGGGGACAGGAACCCTTTGGTCAGCCGATCCCCAGATGGAGACGGTGCCCAGACTCAAACACACCACAGGGAGGACGGATAGACACAGAGACAAGACAGTCCTCAGTCCGGACAAAACACAGAAATAATTACCTGACCAGATTCCTGATGTCAGATTCCGGGATCCCTACCAGAACAGAGTGGGAACCAACAGATTCGATGGCGTAGACTTCACTGTGGTCATGCACCCTTCCGTTCTGGCGGAGGACCGCTTGGGCCAAATGCCCAGGTGCCGGCTTGCCATGGCCGTCCTAAGAACAGTCAGGAGTCACACGGCCCCAGTGAAGACGGTTGCCATCTCGGTGGAACCTCCAAATTGTCAAAGTCAGATTCAGAACTCACATAGTTTGTCAGACCACTCTGTTTATTAGCAAAGCGCTTTGCTAATGCACCCAGATGTGAGCCCCTCTCTGAGGTTCAAGGTAACTTATTTATACAGCTAAGCCAAAGCCAATTTAACATAAGAGACAAAATAAAGAGAAACTGACAAATATACATACATATATTATTTGCATACTAACGTTTACCAATCTCCTAGCTCAGTAGGAGCTCTAAGTTAATTAGTTTGAGGACCCCTTGTCTCACACTCCTTAATGTTTCTCTTCCTGACAACTATATTTCAACCAACCCTTCAAGTAGCATTTCTTTAATGAATTATAATTTCAATATAATTCATTCTACTTTCACAGTGTTTAGGAGGAGCCACACTGTGCAAGTGCAACAGAGCCCTGTAGAAACAGGCAAAGTTCTCCTGGTTTCACACTGTGTGTGTCATCGACTCAAAACCTTAGAGTAAACTCATTACATTTTTACAAGCTCCTTAAGTAAACAAAGCACATTAACACAGGGCTTCGGAGGTTGCAGGCAGATCCCTGCTTCAAAGAGCCAGCAAGTAAGATCTTCATCCTACAAAGCACCTAACATCAAACCCCTAGTGCTTGCTACTTATGAGTCAATGGGAGTACTCTGAAGAGCCAGAACTATATCGGATAGCAGAGATCTGGCCTTAATGGTTTCCAGTACCTTTCCCCAAATAAATTTTAAAACTTAATGGAAATCAGTTCTCTGGAATCCAAATGATTTCCATTGTTTTAGAATTTGTTTGGGGAGAGGCATCTTTCCGGGCCACTGCAGCCCCAGAGCTGGAGCTGGGACATGACAGGTTAGAAAATACAAGAGTGATACTGCAAATCAAACTTTAAAGCTATAATACATCTTCCCAGACAAAGCTAAATCCAAACATTTTAAGCAGCTGGTGGAGGTAGCATTCATTTTAGGAACTACATTAATTAACCTCCATACCAGTTAAGCAATTCTGAAAAGCCATCCAAACCAAAAGCTAGGCATAAATAATACATTGCGTCTCTCCCTGGCTGTCACACGCAGCCCAGCTGGGGCTGGGATGCCCTAAATTTAGTCCTGACCCCACCCACCCCCTATTTCCCCCCACCTACCCCGTATTTTCCCCCATCACCTCACCTTCCATGTCCTCTCCAGGGTCCAGTCCACCTAATTAGTGGAGCCATGTGGATAAGTTCCAGAGAGATGCAGCCTTAACCGTTTTGCCACCCAGGGCAGAAAACGTTGGTCCATACACTCCTGAGGAGGAAAAGAAAATGTAGAGTGACACAGCGGTCTGGCACTGCTGGAAGCTGGTGCCCAGGGTAACCGTCCTGCTTGTCCACCCCTAGAACTGGTCTGGGGCCCAGCTCCCTGAACCTTGTAAAAAAACCAGGAGAACTTGTGGCACCTTAGAGACTAACACATTTATTAGAGCATAAGCTTTCGTGGGCTACAGCCCACTTCATCGAATGCATTGAATGGAACATATAGTAAGAATATATATATATATACACACACACACATACATACAGAGAAGGTGGAATTTGCCATACAAACAGTTTGTATGGCAAATTCCACCTTCCCTGTATGTGTGTATATATATATCTGCTTATTATATGTTCCATTCAATGCATCCAATGAAGTGGGCTGTAGCCCACGAAAGCTTATGCTCTAATAAATGTGTTAGTCTCTAAGGTGCCACAAGTACTCCTGGGTTTTTTTTGTGGATACAGACTAACACGGCTGCTACTTTGAACCCTGTAATGTTGCCAATCCCAGGAGTTCAGAAATCATGAGTCAGGACCGAAAAATCCACAACACCAACTTAAAATTAACAGAATAACTGATACTTAGAAAAAAAAACTTTTGTTTACTTCTGACTTCTAGTTTCTGAGCCTTTAGGTCACACTTTAAACCATGTTTTCTGGCTTCTATCCACAGCCTGAAACTCGTTTGTTTTGTTTTGTTTTGTTTGAGATGAAATATTGCAAGATTAATGATAAATCACAAGAGTTGTCAATGCTGGCCTGGGCCTGCACTGAGGAGCTGGGCCCTGCACCCCTGTGGAAGATGAGGGGGCCCTGTGGTGAGGACCCCGTCCCCCACCCTCTGGGGTTCATGTCTCTGAGCTGAAGAGCTAGGCCCCTTGCTGCTTGTGAGGATCATTTGCTGCAGTCATGTTACCGTCCCTGTTGTTTTCAGCACAGCTGCTGGGAAACCTGAGTCTCTCAGATGTCACGTTTGGGGAACAGGAAGAAAATGTCCGGGCCCCAGTTAGAGACACATGGTTTTTGCTGTGATCAGTACCGCTGCCTGAGCACCCTAGGGAGTTGGGCTGTGTTCTGATTCTCACACAGCTCATTTGTCCAAGGCTGCTTGCAGGATACTGAGTGACAATACACAGCCCGCTAGACAGCACACCAGCAGCTGTGACGAACGTCACCACCAGCTTACATCTCCTCTTCAGCCTCTCCGTTTCTCCCCTCCAGTTGTCCACAACAGCGCTTGACGAGACACTTCAGTGCAAGAGGGGTAACTCTGTCCATGCCCCGTTTGACCAAGACCATGCTTGGGGTTTAGACTCTAGATTCACCTTTTGCTGATTAATCATATGTCTCTTCACAGGTGGTAGCAATTTAAATGGCTTGTCCCTTCTTTGCTCATTTCAGAGCTTCATTCATGAGCTGCTGTGTCCTGAGTGGTTTCGTCTCTCCCCCCTTGGGCTTCAATGCGCTCTGGCCCTGTGGAGGAAGTTGAAGACCCGGATGCCCTCACTGAAACAAGAGTAGGCAAGAACTCACAGGCCCAAATGATGCAGCACTAACCACTGGAAGAAATTACCAAGGGAAGTGGTGGAGTCTCCATCTCTTGAAGTCTTTGAGTCTACTCTGGATGTTTTTCTGGGAGATGTTTTAGGCTCAATACAGGGGTAAAAGAGTGAAATTCTATGGCCTGTGATATGGCAGAGTCAGGCTACATGATCTAATGTTTCCTCCTGGCCTTAAAATCTGTGAATCTATCAATCTAAAGCATGACTTTGTTGGGGACACTGGGGCATGGCCACTAGGTAACTCGAGGGGATGGAAGACCACGAGTGTCGATGAAGCCCCCTCTCACTAGGTCCAAGTGTCCTCGCCCCCCCCACCCCCCCGCCTGGAGGCACTCGCAGCAGCTCTGCGTACTAGGCCCAAGTGTCCTTGGCCCCCCAGCCTGGAGGCACTCCCAGCAGTTATGCTGAGGATCTGCAACAATATGTTGCAGACTCAGACTGCCTGAAACTAAACAAGGCCAAACAGGGCAGATATGGAAGAACAATGCTGAATAAAGTAGCTTTATGTATAGTTTAACAAATGATACAAAAAACAAGGGAACTAGCTGGTAACGGGATCGGCTGGCTATATGATACTTAGGGCAGCTTGCTATTGGATAAGTGTGCTGAAGAAAGGATGTATAAAAGCCTGTGTAACTTCCTGCTCGGTGTGCAGGATTTGAGATTCTATTCTCCCTGTACCTTGTTTGCAGCTGAAAATAAACTTTTCTGCTTCTCCACACCGTTGTGATTCTTGGGTGACGCACACCGGGTAACGAACCCCTGCTGTTGTTTTGCCTCTCGGCACTGGGTGCCAGCAACAACTTGAAGGGGGAGCAGGAAGCCAAGAGGATGTAGGGTGTTCAGAACAGGCCTAAAATGTCAGCCTGAGAACCAGATTCTACAGACCTTATTCTGGCCCAGAACCAACTGGCTTCAGTGGGAAATTTTGTCCTATTAAGCTGTGCAGGATTTGGCCCTGAGTCTTGTTATATATCATGTTGCATGAAATAGACAAATGCCTTTTCCTGCTGTCATGTCCAGTTTGTACCATCCCCGCCCCCATCGCCTGCGTGCCTGCCAACCGTCCCTGCCAGACAGGCAGAGAACTGCAGCTCTCTGAGATAGGAGCTAGAGGAGACATAAATAAGAAGTCCCTGTTGTTCCTCTATCAAGAACCACCCAAAGTGCTTTAAAGTGAGTACATGGGACTCGCTCCATCTACCACCAGCTCCTTAGAAAGGCTGTGAGGGGTAACTTCTTGGGCAGAATGCGGTTCCTCAGCCTGGAATGAAAGCAATGCTACTCTCAGGAAAACAGATGGGATCATTGGTGACCAGGTGAGCTCATGATTTCTGCTTCACTTCTCACCTGAGACATGACAGTGGAGCAGGACTGCACTCCCTCGTATGACATGGAGACTCTGCTGCAGTGCTGACTAAAGGCTTGTGTATCTGGGAAGGGTTTTCAACATTCTTGGGTTACTATTATTGGCCAGGCAGGGGATGGGGCAATGACCTCATCTGAGTGGGTCTACACTGCAGCTGGGACCATGCCTCCCAATTCAAATAGACAGACTCACCCTACCAAGACTCGAGCTAGCAAGTTCAAAATAGCAGTGTGTGGACATTGTGGTTCTGGCGGAGCCCACCCTTCCACTGGGCTCGAGCTCAGCTGGCTAGTCTGAGCTGCAGCATCTGCATGCAAGCCCTGCTGGCATGAGTCTGTCTACCTAGGCTGGGAGGCTTATTCCCAGTTGCAGTGTAGACATACCCTCAGAGACCTGTGTCAACAGGGTGGGACATATTAGTCTGCCCTAGGCAGCTACCTGTACTGGCCTCAGCCTTCTCCTGCATCCAAAAGAAAGGCTAGAAAAAGGACCACCAGTTTGCAAAGGTTTCTCCCTGGTCATTGCATTGAGATAGACACAGTCATCAGCACACCTCTCTGCTCAGTCTGTGCTCTGAGAGATAAACTGTTGGCAGCGTCTTGTGTCCGAGAGGAGATGTTATTGTTCCTGAGACACCTGAGATACCAGTAACAGATTTTTGACTCTAATAAAAAAAGAAAAAGAAATTCCTGCTGCAGCTGATGGAAGGGGGCATATGTATGTAGGTCACACTACTCCTTTCTTCTGTCCAACAGTGCCGGCTATCCAATGGGATAACCTGGTCAGCTCCTCTCACTCCAGTGATGGATCTCTTCCACCCTTTCCCATAGTGTCAGAGACTCAATTGATTACAAGATGCCCTGATTTCTAAGGCTTGTAGAGTGACTTGTGCATGTTATCTTCACAGCCTCCCTGTTCCTCCCTAGCTATGGGGTTTATGTCCTCATCTATAAGATCTAGTTCCTTTGTGTCTGTTTCCCCATCTATTGTCACCTGCTCCAACTGGGCATGCGTCTCACCTGCTTTCTTCTTCAAAGAAAAGCATTTCCACGTTCCCTGAGAGGAAAGGGTTCTTTCACTCTCAACAATTGCCATAGATTTGCCAGACTTCCTACAGACATGGCGTCTTTTCTTGAGTGGTGGGATTTTCTGTGTGAACATGCTTATCACAGCCTTCTCTAGCGAGGCCTGTTCTTGACGTCTGAGGTCAGGGTCTCATCCGCTACAACGTGGCCATGAACTTTGTAGACCTGACCCTCTCCGCACTCTCTAGAGGGAATCATGGGGGATGGGGGGTGGTCTGTAACGAACTCAGGAACAAAGATGTCTGGGTATTTTTCCGACATAGATTCTTAGGTTCCAAGTCCAGAAGCAGTGGCAGATTAATGCACAGGGCCAATGCACAGAGGCCCTGGCTAATATGGGGGCCCCCGCAGGAGTGTCAGAACCTGCATAGAAGTTGGGAGGGGCCATCAATGCTGGAACGGTGGCCTTGTCACTGGCTTTTCCTTTTCCCCCTGAGACAACCTTCCCCCACTGCCCTGCAGCCAGGCCAGAAGCTGGAGCCAGGCAGAGATAAGAGCTGCCCAGGGACCCTGGGCCACTGTAGGGAGATCTGGACCCTCCATCTGCCCTGGGCAGCGTGTGGTGCCCAAGAGCAGCCCCCAACCCATGTCTCCACCCCCTGGGGCATGCCACTGCTGGTGGGACACAGGGATGGGGGCTCCAGTCCTGCCTCCTGCCCTGGGTCCTACAGCCACACACGTGGGGAGAGGAGACCCTGCCCTGGCCTGGGAGGTGGCAGGTAGCCCCGGGAAGGTCGCAGTGAGGAACTGGACAGAGAGGGCTCCTCCAGCACAGCTCCCCCGCTACTGGACCAGTCTCAGTGGCTGCTGCACTCTGCCCACACTCACTCAGTGCCTGTGCCCCGCTCCCCCTGCCAGGCTGCCCCCACCGGTCCCTTCTCCTCCTCCTTGGTAAACAGGTAGCAGAATGAGGTCTCTGCCCATGGGGACAGGATGCCTTCCGGGGAAAGGAGGCACTTCCGTCCCCTTGTGAGAGGTTTGAAGTAAAGGCAGCATTATGGAAGGCTGCTAGTCATCTTTCAAGCTTGGTGCTACTCCGGCAAAGGGAACTGGAGGATTGTCAATTAGAGTTAGGGGTGGTTAAAGGTAATTTGGCACAACAGGGTTTGGAGTCAGAAGCAGAGTTAACAGACCACCTTAAAAGACAGGAGCTGCGACTTGGTTGCAGGGGAGTACAGGAAAAAAAGTTTCAAAGTGAAAATGGGAGAGTGAGCAGGTTAATACATGGAGTTGCTCCAAATGGTTAACGACACCAGGTAATGGCACTTTTGCAATTCACTTGACATGCAGACAAAAGCAGCAGACACGGGGGGGGGACGGACAAATTCAGGGTTTGCAGGAGCCGATAACAACCCCCACTTTTCTCCCAGAGCCAGGATAAAAACCTAGGGGAAAGGGTTCCCAACTGTTTTACCCTAGGGAGCCCTATCCTTCGCTCCAAGCTAACCATAACCTTTTCTTCTCCTCCTCAGTTTGCTAAATTTGCTGCTTTTAGCCTGTACTTTCAAATAGCTTCACAGGGCTAATTGGTTGCTTTCCACCCTACCCACCCCCACCCCCCTTCGCACTTTTGTTTTTCTGAAGTTTTAATGGAGGGTACTTTGGATACCTTATAGGAAATGTTTTTCTGGATAGAGCATGACGGAGCTCTGCCATAGTCCACTGAAATTTTAAGAGTAAAAGATCCATAGGTGACCATGGAGACAAATGTTTTCCTGCTTTTGTGAACAATCCCACGGTAAAGACAGCACAGGGGAAGGCAGCTGTGTTGCAGGGATTGTACTTGGCGGCGAAGTCGTTACAGACAAAATGCACCACCTTAAAGAACTGAATGCATAAGTAAGTGACTTAAAGAGAGTGAAGGGTTAAATGTAGCTTTGGCAGAAATTAAAACTACAGAGTTTGGAGGGAAGCAAATAGCTGGGAGTTGTGGAAGTGTTAGACGGTAACAGTTGTGGTGTGTTCCAGAGTAGCAGCCGTGTTAGTCTGTATCCACAAAAAGAACAGGAGGACTTGTGGCACCTTAGAGACTAACAAATTTATTTGCGTTGTGGTGTGGGGATTACAGTGGACAAGAAGCTGGATATAAGTCAGCAGTGTGCCCTCGTTGCCAAGAAGGCCAACAGCATATGGGACTGTACTAGTAGGAACATTGCCAGCAGATCAAGGGAAGTGATTATTCCCCTCTATTCAGCACTGGTGAGGCCACAGCTAGAGTATTGCGTCCAGTTTTGGGCCCCCCACTACAGAAGGGATGTGGACAAATTGGAGAGAGTCCAGCGGAGGGCAACAAAAATGATTAGGGGGCTGGGACACATGACTTATGAGGAGAGGCTGTCCCCTCTATTACCTAACTAGCCAGAAGCTGAGATGGAGATGGAGATAGAGCCCAGGGACAACTTTCTGGTCGGAATCCCAAAACCCTCCTCATTGACAGCCGCTGGCTGGGATAGGATGGGGTGTCTTCCCTGGGCCTCACTGGTGGATGCCCCTTCATATCCTACAGCAGCCTCAAGCTCCTGTACTGGAGTCTGGTATGTTTTTTCCCAGCTTGGAGGGTGTTGTTTCCTGTTCAACAAATTAGGGAATTCTAACCAACAAACCCGAGGGGTCTGTTGCCTGGATCTAGGCCTCTAAGTAAACAAATCGCAGCAAGTTTGTCACACCTTGTCCCCCTCCCTTTCTGCACCCTGTGTATTACCTGCCTCCTCCCACCTCTAGACCAACCCCTCCCCCATCCAAGAAGTGCCCACACCCTGTGTACTTACTGCCCTTCTCCCTCCAATAGGAACCCACCAGCAACACCCTGATAATCCCTACTTCCACTGGCTTCACAGCAGCCATTTAACTTCCCCGGTCTCTGGAAGGATGGAATGATTTGGAGCAAACATGGATGTTATGCCGCAGCCTTTTAGGGTAAAAAGGGCAACTGGGGACATGTCAGAACAGGAAATAATTTCACATCACAATTCCCCCCAGGCTCTTTCCCTGCACACTGGTGTTCTAGACTGTCAGGCAAATAACAGAAAAATTCAAAAGACAGTTAGTAATGGGGGTGGGAGGGACGACAATATCTGTTAGAAAAGGAATTCAACCAAACACAAAGTGTCCAATAAGCTCTCGGAATGTACTGGGGACACTTGTTTCTTTCAGAAGATGGAAGAAGTAACTGGAGGATGGCCATTTTACACCTGATTCTGACTAAGAAGAAGAAACGCAGACACAGGTAACTAACCGCTTTCATGTTCTCTCCACAGGTACCATTGCGGAGAGTGGACCAGATGATATGTCTGGGGGGAGAAAGCAGAAGGGGACTCCGCTGGTTGGAAGGCATGAGATGCACTGTCCTGAGATGGGGGGTTCCATGACTACCACTCCCAAGAGAAGGAGGCGGGTGGTGGTGGTCGGGGACTCTCTCCTCCGGGGGACTGAGTCATCTATCTGCCACCCTGACCAGGAAAACCAAGAAGTCTGCTGCTTGCCAGGGGCTAAGATTTGCGATGTGACGGAGAGACTGCCAAGACTCATCAAGCCCTTGGATCGCTACCCCTTCCTGCTTCTCCACGTGGGCACCAATGATACTGCCAAGAATGACCTTGAGTGGATCACTGCAGACTACGTGGCTCTGGGAAGAAGGATAAAGGAGTTTGAGGCGCAAGTGGTCTTCTCGTCCATCCTCCCCGTGGAAGGAAAAGGCCGGGGCAGTGAGTGTCAAATCATGGAAGTCAACGAATGGCTACGCAGGTGGTATCGGAGAGAAGGCTTTGCATTCTTTGACCATGGGATGGTGTTCCAAGAAGGAGGAGCTAGGCAGAGACGAGCTCCACCTAACGAAGAGAGGGAAGAGCATCTTCGCGAGCAGGCTGGCTAACCTAGTGAGGAGGGCTTTAAACTAGGTTCACCGGGGGAAGGAGACCAAAGCCCTGAGGTAAGTGGGAAAGCGGGATACCTGGAGGAAGCACAGGCAGGAACGTCTGTGAGGGGAGGGCTCCTGCCTCATACTGAGAATGAGGGGCGATCAGCAGGTTATCTCAAGTGCTTATATACAAATGAACAAAGCCTTGGAAACAAGCAGGGAGAACTGGAGGTCCTGGTGAAGGCAAGGAATTATGACGTGATTGGGATAACAGAGACTTGGTGGGATAACTCACATGACTGGAGTACTGTCATGGATGGTTATAAACTGTTCAGGAAGGGCAGGCAGGGCAGAAAAGGTGGGGGAGTTGCACTGTATGTAAGGGAGCAGTATGACTGCTCAGAGCTCCGGTACGAAACTGCAGAAAAACCTGAGAGTCTCTGGATTAAGTTTAGAAGTGTGTGCAACAAGAGTGATGTAGTGGTGGGAGTCTGCTATAGACCACCGGACCAGGGGGATGAGGTAGATGAGGCTTTCTTCCGGCAACTCGCAGAAGCTACTAGATCGCACGCCCTGGTTCTCATGGGTGACTTTAATTTTCCTGATATCTGCTGGGAGAGCAATACAGCGGTGCATAGACAATCCAGGAAGTTTTTGGAAAGCGTAGGGGACAATTTCCTGGTGCAAGTGCTAGAGGAGCCAACTAGGGGGGGAGCTTTTCTTGACCTGCTGCTCACAAACAGGGAAGAATTAGTGGGGGAAGCAAAAGTGGATGGGAATCTGGGAGGCAGTGACCATGAGTTGGTTGAGTTCAGGATCCTGACACAGGGAAGAAAGGTAAGCAGCAGGATACGGACCGTGGACTTCAGGAAAGCAGACTTCGACTCCCTCAGGGAACGGATGGGTAGGATCCCCTGGGGGACTAACATGAAGGGGAAAGGAGTCCAGAAGAGCTGGCTGTATTTCAAGGAATCCCTGTTGGGGTTACAGGGACAAACCATCCCAATGAGTCGAAAGAATAGTAAATATGGCAGGCGACCACCTTGGCTTAACGGTGAAATCCTAGCGGACCTTAAACATAAAAAAGAAGCTTACAAAAAGTGGAAGGTTGGACATATGACCAGGGAAGAGTATAAAAATATTGCTCGGGCATGGAGGAATGAAATCAGGAGGGCCAAATCGCACCTGGAGCTGCAGCTAGGAAGAGATGTCAAGAGTAACAAGAAGGGTTTCTTCAGGTATGTTGGCAACAAGAAGAAAGCCAAGGAAAGTGTGGGCCCCTTACTGAATGAGGGAGGCAACCTAGTGACAGAGGATGTGGAAAAAGCTAATGTACTCAATGCTTTTTTTGCCTCTGTCTTCACTAACAAGGACAGCTCCCAGACTGCTGCGATGGGCATCACAACATGGGGAGTAGATGGCCAGCCCTCTGTGGAGAAAGAGGTGGTTAGGGACTAATTAGAAAAGCTGGATGTGCACAAGTCCATGGGGCCGGACGAGTTGCATGTGAGAGTGCTAAAGGAATTGGCGGCTGTGATTGCAGAGCCATTGGCTATTATCTTTGAAAACTCGTGGCGAACAGGGGAAGTCCCAGATGACTGGAAAAAGGCTAATGTAGTGCCAATCTTTAAAAAAGGGAAGAAGGAGGATCCTGGGAACTACAGGCCAGTCAGCCTCACCTCAGTCCCTGGAAAAATCATGGAGCAGGTCCTCAAAGAATCAATCCTGAAGCACTTACATGAGAGGAAAGTGATCAGGAACAGTCAGCATGGATTCACCAAGGGAAGGTCATGCCTGACTAATCTAATTGCCTTCTATGATGAGATTACTGGTTCTGTGGATGAAGGGAAAGCAGTGGATGTATTGTTTCTTGACTTTAGCAAAGCTTTTCACACGGTCTCCCACAGTATTCTTGTCAGCAAGTTAAAGAAGTATGGGCTGGATGAATGCACTATAAGGTCGGTAGAAAGTTGGCTAGATTGTCGGGCTCAACGGGTAGTGATCAGTGGCTCCATGTCTAGTTGGCAGCCGGTGTCAAGTGGAGTGCCCCAGGGGTCGGTCCTGGGGCCGGTTTTGTTCAATATCTTCATAAACGATCTGGAGGATGGTGTGGATTGCACTCTCAGCAAATTTGCGGATGATACTAAACTGGGAGGAGTGGTAGATACGCTGGAGGGCAGGGATAGGATACAGAGGGACCTAGACAAATTGGAGGATTGGGCCAAAAGAAATCTGATGAGGTTCAATAAGGATAAGTGCAGGGTCCTGCACTTCGGACGGAAGAACCCAATGCACAGCTACAGACTAGGGACCGAATGGCTAGGCAGCAGTTCTGCAGAAAAGGACCTAGGGGTGACAGTGGACGAGAAGCTGGATATGAGTCAGCAGTGTGCCCTTGTTGCCAAGAAGGCCAATGGCATTTTGGGATGTATAAGTAGGGGCATAGCGAGCAGATCGAGGGACGTGATCGTTCCCCTCTATTCGACATTGGTGAGGCCTCATCTGGAGTACTGTGTCCAGTTTTGCACCCCACACTACAAGAAGGATGTGGATAAATTGGAGAGAGTCCAGCGAAGGGCAACAAAAATGATTAGGGGTCTGGAACACATGACTTATGAGGAGTGGCTGAGGGAACTGGGATTGTTTCGTCTGCGGAAGAGAAGAATGAGGGGGGATTTGATAGCTGCTTTCAACTACCTGAGAGGTGGTTCCAGAGAGGATGGTTCTAGACTATTCTCAGTGGTAGAAGAGGACAGGACAAGGAGTAATGGTCTCAAGTTGCAGTGGGGGAGGTTTAGATTGGATATTAGGAAAAACTTTTTCACTAGGAGGGTGGTGAAACACTGGAATGCGTTACCTAGGGAGGTGGTAGAACCTCCTTCCTTAGATGTTTTTAAGGTCAGGCTTGACAAAGCCCTGGCTGGGATGATTTAATTGGTCTTTAATGCCCAGAAACCTAAAAGGAATCCTAAAGAAGTGGAATCATGGACAAATTGCTACGGATGAGTACAAAAGAGTAGCACAAGCATGTGGGGACAAAATCAGAAAGATTAAGTCACAAAATGAGTTACGCCAAGCAAGTGACATAAAAGCAATAAGATAAGGATTCTATAAATATATTACAAACAGGTGAAGGAAAGTGTAGGTCTTCTACTTACCAGGGAAGGCGAGATAATAACAGAGGACATCAAGAAGACTAAGGTGTTTAATGCCTTTTTTACATTCAGCAAAAAGTTTAATTCTGAGCAGATACTTAAAACAATGATTCTTAACCAAGAGGGGGAAGGAACAGAAACCACAACGGGGAAATAACAGGTTAAAAATATTTAGATAAGTTAGATGTATTAAAGTCAGCAGGGCCTAATGGAGTACGTGAGGAATTAGCTGAAGCAATCTTGGAACAGTTAACAATTATCTTTGACAACTCCTGGAGAATGCTGAGGTCCCAAAAGACTGGCAAACATAATACCTATCTTTAAAAGGGGAACAACAAGGACCTGGAGAATAAAGACCAGTCATGACTTACTTAGATACCTGTGTGACAGGTTGGTTCACAGAAACCCGTTTTGGGACTTCCACCTGATGTGCTCAGACTACCTCTGAGCCTGTTTTCCCTGTCAGCTTGGGACTTCAGTGCCCTGCCTGGTTTGAGCCAGACATGCTAGCCTGCTACAAACACAGACCCAGGTCTGAACTACGTCCCGCAAAAGCTGCAGGCTTAACTGAAAACAGTTTAAGAAGTGTTCCTGTCTTTAACACTCAGATGCCCAACTCCCAATGGGGTCCAAACCCTAAATAAATCAGCTTTACCCTACATAAAGCTTATACGGGGTAAACTCATAAATTCTTCGTCCTCTATAACACTGATAGAGAGATATGCACAGCTGTTTGCCCCCCCAAGTATTAATACATACTCTAGGTTAATTAATAAGTAAAAAGTGATTTTATTAAATATAAAAAGTAGGATTTACATGGTTCCAAGTAATAACAGACAGAACAAAGTGAATTACCAAGCAAAATAAAACAAAACACGCAAGTCTAAGCCTAGTACAGTAAGAAAACTAAATACAGATAAAATCTCACCCTCAGAGATGTTTCAATAAGCTTCCATCACAGACTGGACACCTTCCTAGTCTGGGCACTATCCTTTCCCCTGGTACAGTCTTTGTTACAGCTCAGTTGTTAGTTAGGGGATTTCTCATGACTGCAGCCCCCTTTGTTCTGTTCCACCCCCTTATATAGCTTTTGCACAAGGTGGGAATCCTTTGTCCCTCTCTGGGTTCCCACCCCTCCTTCTAAATGGAAAAGCACCAGGTTAAAGATGGATTAGGGTTCAGGTGACATGAGCACATGTTACTGTAAGACTTCATTACCCACTTGCCAGCACTCAGGTATACAGGAAGACTTACAAGTAAACAGAGCCATCTACAGTCAATTGTCCTAGTTGATGAGAGCCATCAAGATTCCAAACCACCATTAATGATCCACACTTTGCATAATTACAATAGGCCCTCAGAGTTATATTTCATATTTCTAGTTTCAGATTCAAGAATGATACATGTATACAAATAGGATGACCACACTTAGTGGATTATAAACTTACAGACAGGTTTCAGAGGAACAGCCGTGTTAGTCTGTATTCGCAAAAAGAAAAGGAGTACTTGTGGCACCTTAGAGACTAACAAATTTATTTGAACATATCTTGATTTTAGTAAGGCTTTCGACAAGTCCCTCATAAGCAAACTAGGGAAATGTGTGTATATGTGTAACCCCCAAGGAGATTACTTCGATTCCTGGGGCTCTGTCTGCCGGCAGCTCAAGGAGAGGCATGCTGTCCCTGGTAGGGAGGGGGAGCCAAGGCAGACTCAGAGTCCGCCCGGCAACCAAGAGGGAGTGAGAGGCCCTCCCAGGGGGCTCAGAAAAGGGGAGAAGCCATTTTTGAGTCTGGTCTGGAGCCAACCAGGACAAAGGCAGGACTGGCTGTGTGGGGAGCTGGCGAATCCCAGGTCTGCATGGAGGGTTCCCCTTGAGAACTGGCCTCTAGGGACCTGACAGCAAGATCCCTCAGCTGGGCTTTTCCTTCTGCACTGATGACTCCCAGTTTGTAGAGTTTTGCTGGGAAAGTTCCCCAGCCAGGCTGAGTTCGCCCTCCAGCTCCCTAGGTGAGACCAGCCACCACATGGTCAGCTCTGCTCTGGCTGCTAGTCCAGGGTTGCTGCCTGCTGCGAGTGTGTCTGGACGCTGGGCTAGGAGACTAGTTTGGATTTTAGTACAGTTGTGTAATCTGCACTTTGAGCCCTGCACCCCTGTGTGGTGAGGGGAAATCCTGAGACCAAAAGCAGCCTGACTCCTGACTGAAGAGGATCCCTGCCAGCAGAGATCAGCCCCTCTGCAGTGACCGAGGAGTCAAGAGTCTGAACCTGAGGATCGTTCATGGAGTTTGTGAGTGCACCATCTTTTAGTTAGTCAGGGAAATTGTTTTGGGGACCCCCTACTCCCTGAACTGTGTCCTTAAGCCAGGGAGTAAGGGTTTGGGGATTTTATAACCTGCTGCGTATTAAACCTGGGAGGGACTTATCACCTCCTCCCTCCTTTGGGCTGTACTGATCCCAGTCAGCCACACTGCTAAACCACTGCAGAGAAGATATCGTGGTCATAGGTCATCAAGGGCCCTGACAAAGTACGCGTACCAACGGGACACTGATCTTACATTTGTTACATCAGGTCACGTGACTGGGGAAAGTCACAGGTATTATCAGCATGGGCACTGGTGACCCTAAGAATAGTGTTTTATGTTTCTTGGGAGTCTCCAACTATCTGGCAAGTAAGTGGGGGTTACCCTGTGGTTAGAATTTTCCTCCCAAGCTGCCCTGGTGACCCTGCCAGGAAGGAGTGAGGAGGGTGGAGGCACTGCCAAATAAATTCATAGGGAAAAATAAAGAAGATACTGAGTGGGTGGCGGGATCCAGAAGAACCCAGACCTGTCCATCAAAACCGGTAAGCATATTGGCATTAAAGAAGGTAACCGGGTGGAGAGGGAGCACTACATATGTAAGGACTACAAGGGATGTACAATTTCTTGAAAGACTGTATTCAAAGAGAGGATGTATCTAGCGGGGTTCCAAAGGAGCCAGTCCTGCATCTGGTACTAGCCAATATTTTCATTCATGACTTAGATAATGGAGTGGAGAGTAAGCTTATTAAATTAGAAGATGACACCAAGCTGGGAGGAGTTGCAAGCACATAGGATAACAGAATTAGAATTCAGATTGACCTTTATAAATTAGAGAATTGATCTGAAAGAACAAGATGAAATTCAATAGAGGCAAGTGCAAAGTACTACAGTTCGGGAAGGAAAATCAAATGCACAACTACAAAATGGGGACTAACTGGCTAGGGGGCAGCCCTACTCAAAATGATCTGGGGGGTTATAGTGAGTCACAAATTGAATCTGAGTCAGTCATGTGACTTGGTTGTGAAAAAGGCTAGTTTGATACAGGAATAGGTTACTAAGGGAGGTTGTGGAATGGCCATCACTGGAGGTTTTAAGGGCGGGATGGACAGACACCGCAGTGGTGGGGGCTGGATTAGATCATCTCTCAAGGTTCATTCCAGCCCTACAGTTCTATGACTCTGTTCTGAGGAAATGTTTGGCCACTTTATTACAGCATTGACCCAGCCCCTCCCACTAGCACTAAACCAGAGAGATATTTTAAAACCCTCCCAGTAACAAAGAAACCAAATTGAGATAGGTTTCAGAGTAACAGCTGTGTTAGTCTGTATTCGCAAAAAGAAAAGGAGGACTTGTGGCACCTTAGAGACTAACCAATTTATTTGCTCATGAAAGCTTATGCTCAAATAAATTGGTTAGTCTCTAAGGTGCCACAAGTACTCCTTTTCTTTTTGCAAATTGAGATAAGAGTAGAACAAAAGAAGTGACTTTGGGGGATTCCCCCTGACATTGTCCCCAGGGCAGAACACTCCCACAGCAGGGGGTACAGGGAGAGTCAGAAACTGGCTTTTCCTCTCCCTGTACCTCACCTTGTTCACAGGAAAGTGAATCTGCCCAGGAGTGCCGCGGAGCCTGAGCAGCCAGAGCCAGCGAGTCCCGTGGCCGAGCAATGGCAGCCATCAGAAAGAAGCTGGTGGATTGTGGGAGATGGTGGCTGTGGCAAGACCTGCCCGCTGATCATGTTCAGCAAGGACCAGTTCTCTGAGGTCTACATGCCAACAGTCTTTGAGAACTACACTGCTGATATCGAAGTAGATGGAAAGCAGGTGGAACTGGCCCTTTGTGACACAAAAAATAAAAATGCACAATAAGTATGTGTGGGCAGGTTAGAGATCTGGGAATCTCTCCCCACAATTATTTCTCCCACTGCCTCTTTCAGTCTCTCTCTCCTTATGTCTCCTTTCCCCTGTCCCTCCCCCCCCCGGCCAACAGACAGCCATTCGTAGGTGTTTGCTCTCCTAGGGCTGGACAGGCTCCTGCAGTTCCTAAGGGGAGGAGAGATGTGCGGGTGAGAGGGGCTGTTTGTGCAGAGTCACTTTCATGCCCATCCCCAGCACATTTCCTGAGGTCTTTATCAGTCACCTGGAGTCTCGTGATGATTGGGAGAATGGGTTGACAGCAATGGAGTGTGCCTTGCACCTGGAGAAGAATGTGAACCAGTCACTCCTTGATCTGCACAAGCTGGCAACTGCCAAGAATGACCCTCATTTGTGTGACTTCATTGAAACTCAGATGGAGCCTATGGAGCTAATTACAGCTGGAGACTGGGCACAGAGGAAGCTTCACTCAAATTCAATCTCAATCCCAGAAACCACCGGGGAATCACAGAAGATCATAGAATATCAGGGTTGGAAGAGACCTCAGGAGCTAATCTAGTCCAATCCCCTGCTCAAAGCAGGACCAATCCCCAACTAAATCATCCCAGCCAGGGCTTTGTCAAGCCGGGCCTTAAAAACCTCGAAGGATGGAGATTCCACCACCTCCCTAAGTAACCCATTCCAGTGCTTCATCACCCTCCTAGTGAAATAGTGTTTCCTAATATCCAACCTGGACCTCCCCCACTGCAACTTGAGACCATTACTCCTTGTTCTGTCATCTGCCACCACTGAGAACAGCCGAGCTCCATCCTCTTTGGAACCCACCTTCAGGTAGTTGAAGGGAGCAGCAGCTGCTCACAGATCACAATGGAGGTGGCAGCTCCCAGGAACCTCAACCCCAGCATGTTAGGATTCATAAGGAATGGGATGGAGAATAACACAAAACCTTTGTGTATAAATCAAAGGGGCAGCCTCTAATATCCTGGGACCACCATGGCTACTACTGCACTGCACACAGGATATTTTATATCAATTTCTGAGAACTGGGGAGGAAATGGGCAAAAAAGAAATATTTGATAATGTGATAGAAAACAAAGATCTGAAGGGATTTTATATCCATATTAAATATGTGAGAACATTGGGACAATTTGACAGGACTGTCCACAGAACTTCAATAAACAGACAGTCATAGTGCACCACCAGTCAGAGGGGCAGGAAGGAGCCCTTTGGGGAGCTGCTTTAAGAGGGTACGTGAGGGTGGTATGGAGCAGGAAGGCTCCCCGGCAATGGAGAGGGGGTCACAGCAGGGGTGGGCAGGTGATGATTTAGGTGGGGATCGGTCCTGCTTTGAGCAGGGGGTTGGACAAGACACCTCCCGAGGTCCCTTCCAACCCTAATCTTCTGTGACTGGCAGCTGGGGCAAGCTGCACTGGGCACCGGGCGGGGGCCGTGGCCCAGACTGTGCGGCCAGGAGCTGGGCAGTCTCCACTGGGGCCACTTTCTCCTCCCGTGCCCTTCCAGGCCTCGTGGCCGGCAGAGAGCGGATCGCCCACCCCAGACGCAGACGCAGCCCGATCGCAGGGCTCTGCAAGCTGCGCCCATTGACCCCCTTCTCAGGGGGGTACCTGCTTCCCCCCGAAACAAGGAGAATCTGCGGCAGGGGAAACAGGCGGGAAAACATCCCAAATCGGAGGAGATTTTAAAGGGATATTGGAGAATTAGGGAGAAAACGGGGCACAGAGGGAGGAGGCCAGTGACAGGGTCAATAAGTGCCCGGGTGGGCCCGCCCCCGCCCTGCCAGGCACCTGGCTGCGCCCCCCCCGGGACACCGGAGTTTGCTGTTTAAATGGGGGCTCAGGGCGGGGTGAGCGGCTCCGAGAGGCGCCTGCCAGAGCGGGGGAGGGGGTCTCTACGAGGGGACTGGGGGGGGGAGGTTGGCGGGGGGGCGGGGCCAGGGTGGCCCCGGGGCACGCTGGGAAGTGTAGTTCCTGGCGGTCCTCGGAGCGGCGGTGACGGGGCCGAGCGCGGCCGTCGCGCGCGCATGGAGCGGCTGCGCAGCGTCCGCCCGCCTCCCGGGGCACGCTGGGAAGCGTAGTTCTCGCCCTCTCTCACGCCGGCCTCCTGTGGGCGGGGTGGCCGCTGGCCGGGTGCGCGCGCGCTGCTGCCGGGCCCCGCGGACCGTTCGTCCCCGTGGCTGGCGCGCGCCCGGGGCTGAGGGAGCCAAGAAGGGGCCCGACCGCCCCTCCCCCTCCCCCGGGGGACTCTCTCCGGCTGGACCCGCCCCGGGCTCCGCCGGCCCCGCCCGGAGCCGCAGGCACCAGGTGCCGGAGAGACCCGGGGGGGGCGAGCGGGACAGCGGCGCTGCACGAAGGGCCCGGGGGGGCCGCAGGTCTCGCAGCCCCTGGGGACGCGCCGGGGCTGGAGGGGCCTGGACAGCGGTGGGGCCGCGGCCCCCGGCTCGGGGGGCGCGGGTGGGGGCAGAGGTGGCGGGGCCCAGGGGGTTCCCCCTGTGTGTGTGCGTCGGGGGGGGCAGGCTGGAGATGTGGGGGGGGGGTTGGAACCCCCCGTGGCGGATGGGGGGGCGCTGTTGAGCCCCCCTTTGGTTTGGCCACGAGTCTCTCCAGCAGGGAGACAATTCTCCCCGCTTGTCAGTGCGGGGTGTAAAATCCAGGCAGGTGTCTCCCCTTTCGCTCCAGGGACTGACCCTTCCTCTAGGCTCCGGCTCAGATCCCCCCCCCTTTTCTCTTCAATTCTCCAGGGTCCATTTAAAATCTCCTCGGAGGTGGGATATTTCCCCCACCCGTTGGCCCTGCTGCAAATTGTCCTTTGTTAGGTGGGAAACTGAGTCATTCCCCAAACGGGAAGGGCGTTAGCGGGGGCATGTCGCAGGGTCCCGAGACGCGGCCGCCTCTGGGGTGGCCGTTCTGTACCAACAACAGGGCCTGGAAGGTTTCAGAGTAACAGCCGTGTTAGTCTGTATTCGCAAAAAGAAAAGGAGGACTTGTGGCACCTTAGAGAAAGCTTATGCTCAAATAAATTGGTTAGTCTCTGAGGTGCCACAAGGCCTGGAAGGGCATAGGAGGAGACAGTGTCCCCAGTGGAGACTGTCCAGCTCCAGGTCACACAGCCCCAGATACTGCCCTCCCCACACCCCCCACGCACACACCCGCACTATGTGCAAAGCAGCTCCCCCCAGCTACCAGTCACCTGCACACCCCTGCTGTGGCCCCCCTCCATTGCCAGGGAGCCTTCCTGCTCCATACCACCCTCACGTACCCTCTTAAAGCAGCTCCCCAAAGGGCTCCCTGCTGCCCATGTGACTGGTGGTGCACTATGACTGTCTGTTTGTTGAAGTTCTGTGGACAGTCCTGTCAAATCGTCCCAATGTTCTCACATATTTAATATGGATATAAAATCCCTTCAGATCTTCATTGTTTTTTATCATATTATCAAATATTTCTTTTTTGCCCATTTCCTCCCCAGTTCTCAGAGATTAATATAAAATATCCTGTGTGCAGTGCTGTAGTAGCCATGGTGGTCCCAGTATATTGGAGGTTGTCCCCTTGATTTGTATACAAATGTTTGGTGTTCTTCTCCATCTCGTTCCTTAGGAATCCTAACGTGGTGTTAGCTTTTTTGGGCAGCAGCTGTGCGTTGAGCAGAATTTTGTTATTGGATTAATTTTTTAAATCTCTTGACAGCCCTAATATTTATAGAACCCTTATCTTATTGTCTTTTGTCACTTACTTGGCGTAACTCATTTTGTGACTTAAACTTTCTGATTTTGTCCCCACGTACTTGTGCTATACTCTTTTGTACTCATCCATAGCAATTTATCTGTGATTTCACTTGTTTAGGATTCCTTTTTATTTTCTGGTCTTTAAAGAGCTCCTGGTAGAGCCATATTGCCCGCTTACTATTCTTTCTAGCTTTCCTTCACTTTGTGATAATTTGCCATTGCTCTTTTAATATTGTCTCACAGAAACTGCCAGCTCTCCTGGACTCTAATTTTCACCTCAGATTTTATTGCCATGGGACCTCACCTACCAGTTTTCCAAGTGTGTTGAAGTCTGCCTTTTTGAAGTCTGTTGTCCTTATTTTGCTACTCATAGAATTTTTGCTACTCCTACAATCATGAAATCTATCATTTCATGATTGCTTTTGCCCATATTGCTTTCCACCTTCCATTTCCTAACTAATTCCTTCTTGTTAGTCAGAATCAGGTGTAAAATGGCCATCCTCTGGTTACTACTTCCATCTTCTGAAAGAAACAGGTGTCCCCAATACATTCCAAGAACTTATTGGACACTTTGTGTTTGGTTGAATTCTTTTTCTAACACATGCCCTCCCCTGCTCTTCCCCTGCCCGTTACTAAGTATCCTTTGAATTTTTCTGTTATTTACCTGGGTCTAGGACATCAGTATGCAGGGAAAGAGCCTGGGGGGAATTGTGATGTGAATTTATTTCCTGTTCTGACATGTCTTCTATCGCCCTTTTTGCCATAACAGGCTGCAGCGTAACATTCATGTTTTGCTCCCAGATCATTCCATCCTTCCAGGGAAGGGAAATGGCTGCAATGGAGCCAGTTGAGGTACGGATTATCAGAGAGGAGTTGGTGGGTTCCTGTTGGAGGGAGAAGGGCAATAAATATATAGGAAGTGGACACTTCTCGGGGGTTGATCTGGAGGTGGGAGGTTTTAGGGAAATACACAGGGTGGAGAAAGTGGGGGGACAGGGTGTGACAAACTTGCTGTGATTTGCTTACTGTGAGGCCTAGATCCGAGCAGCAGAGCCCTGGGGTTTGTGGGTGGAAATTCCGTAATTTGTCAAACAGGAGACAACCCCTGGGAACTGGGCTGGGAAAACGTACCAGCCTCCACGTGCTATAGCCTGAACCTTCGCTGCTGTGAGATAAGAAGGGACACCCCGCAGTGAGGTCCAAGGAAGACACCTCAGCCCCTCCCCTCCAGATGCTGGTAATGGAGAGGGTGTTGGGATTCCCACTAGGAAATTGTCCCTGGGCCCTGCTGCAGGCTCCGTCTCCTATACCAGCTTCTAATAGTTAGGTGAGCGATGAGAATGGGAAGACCACTGCCTCTTCTCTCTGCTAGAAGGGCTCTCTCTTTCTCCCATCACCCTGTTGCTTCCTGGCTGCTCTGAGGGTGTGGGGATGGGACTCTGCTCACTGCCTGCCTCCCAGAGCTTCCATGTGATTGGACCTCCTCTCCTGTCAAGAGTGATGTTGTCACTAGGTAGCAGGTACTGAGTAGCAGGTTCTTGCTCTTTTAGGGACCAGTGACCTTCGAGGAGGTGGCTGTGTATTTCACCAAGGAAGAGTGGGCTCTGCTTTACCCCGCTCAGAGAGCCCTCTACAGAGACGTTATGCAGGAGAACTTTGAGAATGTGACCTCGCTGGGTAAGGATTCCCATCCCCTTGGTTATTAGAAGGGGAAAATGAGGAATTAAGGTTCACAACACCCCACAATGCAACCTCAACTGTGCCCTGTTTCGGCAACACCTCAAGAGACCAATGATAAATACTAGCACTCTATCCTCCCCACTACAGAGCACAGGAGCAGTATGGCATAAAGTCTAATACCTTCTCTTTGCTAAGGCAAAACTTGGAGTTTGGTCCAGTGTAGAAAGCAAAAGCTACAGACCACTGGCCTGCACTCAAACACTGAGCCTACTGCACACAATCCATCTCCGACTTCCATAATGTTACCACCCCTTTGTTCTTGCACTGAGGATTCCTTCTGAGTCACTTACCCCTCATGGAGACCACTTGCATGTATGCCACCAGACTGCTGACAATTGTCGTGACAAGAACACACCCTTGTGCACCTTTATTGGCCTACCTACAATACTCCTCACTGAAGTGAGGAATACCTCTTCCTTCAAGTTTCACATGCACCTCTCTTCATATCAGAATCACAGCTCTGCCAAGTTGTTCCAACTATTCCCTAAAATGGGTGAACTTGAGTCCTTGTTTAGCACATCTGTCACCCAGTGGCCCCACTGATTGTCAGGGTTCCTGCTTCTGATGTACTTAAAAAAAAAAAAAAAACCAACCTGGTGTTAGTTTGTGACTTCTAAATGAGGATATTGATATGATAGGCATCACAGAAACTTGGTGAAATGATTATAATAAATGAGACAAGATATGAACGATATAGGAATTGGAATGACATAGGATATGACAAAGTAGGTTGTGCTGGTGGCAGAGTGGCACTATATTACTCCTGGGGGAATTCTGCGAATTTTATTTGTCAAAATAACGCAATATAATCATGCTGTTTCAATTATATAGGTAATTTAAACTACAATAGAATGGATAGAGAATGGGAGTGGGGAGTATGTGAGGAACTCCCCAAGCCTCCTTGCCTAACAGTAATGTAGCTAGGTTTGACTCTATTTCTGGTTATGGCTGCATATATTTGTTGGCTAATATGCTCAGTGTTACATCGCAGGCAACTGAAGAGCAAGTGGGGCTAGGGAATCAGACTCACAATTTGTCTTGGCTACTGACCATCAGTGGCAAGGAGTTCATGCAGCACATTTTTTTTAGTCCAAAAATTTAGGCTCGTTCTAATCACGGAAGCCCCCTAAGCATTTATAAGGCCACACTGTCCTTTCCAGCGCTCTGGCACTGTAAAGGCACCTTCAAACTTTTACCTGTTTTATACTCCTAGGGGAATTCACAAAGACAATAGGAACAATGTACTACTAAGCAGGCAGGCTGCTACATTCTTCTCTGCCTGAGGGGACAGAGTCTGCCCCATACCTAACTCCTCAGAAATACCCTGAAGCCCTGCCCCTCCATGCCGAACACACCCCAATAGCAGCAGGAGGGACAGAGTGTCTCTCTCACATGCACGACTGCCCAGCTCCTCCCCCTCCTGCCCCCTGGTGGTGGTTTATGTCTCTACCAGCTGCTCCGGGTGCCTGAACCAACCTGCCTGCGCTGCCGTGAGGGGTGCCTGGCCACTCTTGCGGCTTCCTTTTGCTTCCCTGTCAGAAGTAGTTTTTCTGCGGGGAAGCAAAGAAATCTGCAGGGGACATGAATTCTGCATATGCACAATGACACAAAATTCCCCCAGGAGTAACTGTGAAAGAAACCGTGTCAAATATAGAAAAAATTTTAAGTGAATCTAACTGTGCCATAGAATCTCTACTGATAGAAATTCCATGCTTGAATAATGAGAGTATAGCAGTAGGAATATGATATTGACCACCTGACCAGGATGGTGATGGTGATTATGAAATGCTCAGAAAGATTAGAGAGGCTGTTAAAATAGAAAACTCAATCATAATAATTGGGGGTTTCAACTATCCCCATATTTACTGTGTAGATGTCACCTCAGGATGGGATGCAGAGGTTAAGTTTTTAGAAACCATTTATGGCTACTTATTGGAGCAGCTAGTCCTGGAACCCACAAGGGGAGAGGGAATTCTTGATTTAGTCCTAAGTGATAGACAGGATCTGGTCCAAGAAGTGAACTGCTTGGTAATAGAGACCATAATGTAATTACATTTAACATCATTGTGAGGGGGGAGAGTACCAACAACTCCACCACTATAGCATTTAACTTCAGAAAGAGAAACTACACAAAAGTGAGAGAGCTAGTTCCATGGAAACATTTTTAAAATCCCATAATAGAGGCTCAAAATAAATGTGTACCCCCAAATGGGGACAAAAAGAACAGTAAGAGGACTAAGAAAATACCACCATGGCTAAAGAGTAAATAAGGCAGTTAGAGGTGAAAAAAGGCATCCTTTAAACATTGGAAGTCAAACTGAGGAAAATAAAAGGAGCAAAAATTCTGGCAAGTCAAGTGTGAAAGTATAATTAGCAGGCCAAAAACATAATTTGAGAAGCAACTACAAAAAGTCACTAAAACTAACACCAATTTTTTTTTATTTTTTTTTAAAGTACATCAGAAGCCTGACAAACAATCAGTGGGGCTATTTGGTCATTGACATACTAAACAAGCACACAAGGAAGCCAAGGCCATTGCAGAGAAGCTAAATGAATCCTTTGCATCAGTCTTCGCTGCAGAGGATGTGAGGGACTTTCCTAAACCTGAGCCATTCTTTTTAGCTGGTGAATCTGAGGAACTGTCCCAGACTGAGGTGTCGATAGAGGAGGTTTTGGAACAAATGGATAATTTCAACATGAATAAGTCATGAGGACTAGATGGTATTTGCCCAGTAGTACTGAAATACTTTTCATACATGGAAAGTGCAGAACTACTGACTGTGATATGTAACCTACCACTTAAACCGGCCTCTATACCAGACTGGGGATAGCTAATATAATACTAATTTTTAAAAAAGGCTCCCAAGGGGATCCTGGCAGTTTGAGGCTGGGAAGGCTAACTTCGGTACCGAGCAAATTGGCTGAAAACTATGGTAAAGAACAGAATTCTCAGACACATAAATAAACACGATTTGTTGGGGAAGAGTCTACTTTGCTTTTGTAAAGAGAAATCATGCCTTATCTATTAGAATTCACTGAGGGAGTCAACATACATATGGACAAGAGTGATCCAGTGGATACAGTAGAACCTCAAACATATGAACACCAGAGTTACAGACTTACCAGTCAACCAGACACCCTGTGGAACCAGAAGTCCTCAATCAGGCAGCAGTGCAGACAAACCCCACAGGGGTTGGGGCTGCAGTGGGAGGAGAGGGGTGTCAGGGTCCTGGATAGGGCGAGGGCTTAGGGCTTCTGACCCTCAGAGGCTCAGGGCTTTAGACTGGGAGGGAGCGTTGGGGTGCAGGAGGGGTGCGGCAGTGCGCTCAGGGCAGGGGGTGGGGTGCGGCTGCAGGAGGGGTGTGGCAGGGGACTCAGGGCAGGGGGTTTGTGTGACGCAGCAGGGAGGGGGGAGTGTTGACCTGGGAATGTGGCAGGGGAGTTTCACTGGGGATGGGAGACCTGAGAGCCTGTCACCTGAGCCAGGAGGGGGAGGGAGAGGTAATACCTCTGCCTGGGAAACTGGACAAAGGCTGTAGGAGAGAGCCGGGTGGGGGGGGTTGTTTTCAGTTTGGTGCTGGGTGGTGGAACATAGGGAACCCCAGGGCTGGGGACTAAGCTCCCTGCCCCCCAGAAGGACTTGACTGAGGGGTCCTGGTTGTACCCACAAGCTCTGTTTTAGACTGTGTTCCTATTGTCCAGTAAACCTTCTGTTTTACTGGCTGGCTGAGAGTCACAGTGAATCCCAGGAAGAGGGTGCAGGCCCCAGACTCCCCCACACTCCGTGACAGTTCGGCTGCAGGAGTGGTGTGGGGTGCAGCAGGGGGCTCAGGGCAGGGGGTTCGGCTGCAGGAGGAGTTCGGGGGGGCGGGTCCAGCCCAGCGCGCACCAGGGGCAGGGCAGGCTCCCTGCCTGCCTGCCCTGCCCCCGCGCCGCTCTGGGAAGCAGCCGGGACCTACAGGGGAACGGGGAACCGCAGCCAATGGGAGCTTCGTGGGAGGTACCTGGAGGAGCGGCCAGGGCAACAAACACCCCTGTGCCCCCCTCCCCCAGGTCCTGGCTGCTTCCTAGAGCGGCGCAGGGGCAGGTCAGGCAGGGAGGGAGCCTGCCCTGCCCCCGGTGCACGCCGGGCTGGAGCCATTCTAGGTAAATGCTGGAGGGGCGGGGCTGCCGCAGGGAGCTGGCGGGCCACAGAAAATAACCCATGTGTTTGAGACCCCTGTACTAATGTCTAACCTAAATCTCCCTTTATGCAATTCAAGCCCTTTACTTCTTGTCCTGTCCTCAGTGGATAAGGAGAACAATTTAGCACCCTCCTCTTTATAACAGCCTTTTATGTTGCAGCCTTGCAGACTGTTATGTCCCCCCACCCAATCTTCTCTTCTCCAAACTAAAAAAAAACCCTTGGTTTTCTCAGTCTTTTCTCATAGGTCATGTTTTCTGTACTTTTAATCAGTTTTGGTTTTTGCTCTCCTCTGGACTTCGACCAATATGTCTACATCTTTCCTGAAGTGTGGTGCCCAGAACTGTATACATTATTCCAGTTGAGGCCTTATCAGTGCTGAATAGAGTGGAAGAATGACTTCTCGGATCTTGCTTACAACACTCCTGCTTATACATGCCAGAATGATATTGACGTTTTTTGCAACAATATTAAATTGTTTAGTTTGTGATCCATTACAACCCTGTGACATTCCCCTCTGGTGTTATCTGGACCGGTGATCTGCTAGGTCACTCCAATCCTCGACTCTGGGAGAGAGCCTTACCCTGCTCTGCTGTGAGAACCCCAACTCCTGGGCTGTTCACACACAGCCTCTAGCATGTAAGCTGCTCCTTAGATTGTGCAACCTAATGACACTAGCCAACATCTCCGGTCCCAGACACAACCCTAGGAACCTCCGTCTTGCAGTGTCTAGTTATGCCCACTGCATGCTGCAAGCTATCTGAGTTTGTCAATTTAACAAAGAAATGAATATGTACCAGGCTTGTTATCCTAAGGAGAGTCTCTGACAGGCTTCAAACCAAATGCCCTGCTTCAGGTAGAATAAACAAACAGATATATTAACTATAAATATAGATTTTAAGTGATTATAAGTCAAAACATAAGTCAGATTTGGTCAAATGAAAAAAAAAAAAAAAGCAAAACACGTTCTACTGGCTGGCTGATCTTAACACTTTCAATGCCCTTGCAAACTTAGATGCTTCTCACCACAGCCTGGCTGGTTGCTCTTCAGCCAGGTTCTCCCCTTTGATCAGTGCTTCAGTCACTTGGGGGTGATTGATGAAGATGGAGGTGGAAGAGAGAGGAAGAGCATGGCAAACATCTCTCCCTTTTATCGTGTCCTTTCTTCCCTCTTGGCTTTGCCCCCACCCTTCAGAGTCAGGTGACCATTACCTCATTGCAGTCCGAAACTGACCAAAGGAGGGGGGGGTGACTCACTGGAGAGTCCAGCAGATCCTTTGTTGTTGCCTAGGCCAGTGTCCTTTATTCCTATGAGGCTGGGCTGAGTTTGTCCCATACATCCCCTGATGAGGTGTGAACTGCCTCTCTGCTCTTGGAGAGTTTTTGTCTGGGCTTGCTTTAAGCCACGAGGATACATTTTCAGCCTCATAACTATATACATATGAAATTATAACCTATAACATTACTATAACATCACTATAACAAGAATGCTCAGTACCTCATGAGCCTTCCAAAGACACCTGATGTGACAAACTTTGCATTGGATACCACGCTATCATTTTACAAGGATGAACATGTGGGTGCTGGGAGTTTCCTCCGAGGTGCAGAGCATCACAACCCCCCAGATTCTTTTCTGCAGTACTCCTCCTTAAACAGTCCTTTCCCATTTTATATTTGTATAATTGATTATTCCTTCCTAAGTGTACTACTTTGAATTTGTCCTTCTAGCATTTCATGCTATTTATTTCAGGCCATTTTTCCAGTTTGTCAGGATCATTTTGAACTCTAATACTGTCTGCCAAAGCGTTTGCAGCCTCTCCCAGCTTGGGTTTGTCTGCAAACTTTATGTGTACCCTCCATGCCATTATTGGAGCCATTTATAAACATAATGAGTAGAACTGGATCCCAGACAGATTCCCTGAGGGACCCCACTTGATATGCCCTTCGACAGCTACTCTGACTATGGTTTTCCAACCAGTTGTGCACCCACCTTATTGAAGGTCTTCTAGGCTATATTTCCCTAATTTGTTTATGGAAAAAGTATTAAAAGTCAAGATATATCACATCTAGTGCTCCCTGCATCCACAAGGCTTGTTACCCTGTCAAAGACAGATGTTAGGTTGGTTTGATATGATTTATTCTTGACAAATCTATGGTGACAGGTACTTCACCTTATTTCTTCAAGATGCTTACAAATTGATTGATTGATTATTTGGTCCAGTATCTTTCCAATTACTAAAATTAAGCTGACTGGTGTATAATTCTGTGGGCTGTCCTTATTTCCTTTTTATAGATAAGTACTATATTTGCCCTTTTCCAGTTCTCTGGGATATCTCCCATTCTACATGAGTTCTCAAAGATAATTGCCAATGACTCAGGGTTCTCTTCAGCCAGTTCCCTAAGTATTCTTGGATGTATTTAATCAGGTCCTGCTGACCTGATAATGACTCAGAGGTCTCTTCAGCCAGGTCCTTAATGAGCTTATTATGGAGCAAGGGATATTTAGGTGGGATATTAGGAAAAAGTTTCTAACTCTAAGGATAGTTTACTGTGGAATAAGCTTCTAAGGAAAGAAGTGGATTCCCTGTCATTGGAAATTTTAAAAACCAAGTTGGACAAACACCTGTGAGGGATCTAGATTCACTGGGTCCTGTCACAGCACGGGGTTGGACTTGATGACTTCTTGAGCTCCCTTCCAGCCCTACATTTCTGTTGTTTTTTGCTTTCTCCCATGCTGCTCATTGGAGGAGCGCCCCATAAACATCTCCAGAGCGACCTCATTATCCTCCTTCCCATCCCTCTGTACAGCTCCTCTGTTCTAGGACACCTACAAACTCATGATGATGGTTAGGGTACTGGTGTCCAGAGACCACTGTCTATCAAGGTGACAAATGTCTTATTGTATCCTTTGCTCCCCATGTCACTATTCAGAGTCATTGTACCTGTATTCCCCCTCTGTGGTCCAGCAAGGGCACCCACTCTCAGGCTGTCTAGCAGTCACCTCTCTGGGGTAGAAACCCACATGTCTCTCCCTCCTGACTGGGGTATTTCCAGGCTGCACATCTCCCTGCCCACTCTGTGAATTCCCCAGCAAGGCAGATCCCCTCAGCAAGCCCACTTTCCCTTCCTTCCTCAGGGGCTTTGAGCAGCGTACCTAAGTTGCCGCACAGACCGTTCCCAGAAAACAATGATAAAATCAGGGTAAAAGCATTACAGAGAGATCATATTAAAAACAATATAAGAACCTACATGCATGATAATAAGCTTACCAGAGATCACCCCAAACCCACCAAGGGCTAAAGCAGGTGAACAGACCTTCAAACTCCACCAAGAGTTTTTTACCCTGTGGTCACAAGCTAACAGTTGTTAGCTCAGAAGAAGCTTGCCCATGCATCTGTGAGTCACTCTTCTATCCATTTTGGGCCTCTGAACTTGTCTTCATGTAACAGGTGATCAGCAGGCAATGGTTTCTCCTCACGGTGCAGCTTCCATAGGGTTTGCTGTGGAGGTGAGAAGTTGACTTCTCCTCCCCCAAGTGTTTTCTAGGAATCCCACTTAAATTTTGTCTAGCACATTTTTTTCAGAGTCCTTTGAAGTTCATAACACCTCCTAGGATTTATGTTAGCCAGATATTACATACCATCTGTAACGGGGTCAGCGCCCACTTCTCATGAGCACCTCCTTTTCTCTGGTCGATATGCCTGCAATCACAGTCTCTTTTCAGGGTGGCACCCAGCTCTTGCAAGCGCAAGCCCACCCCAGAATGGTTCTCTCGGCAGGTCTTCAGCAACTCAGCTTTCCGGCCGAGCCACATGCACTGCCCCCCCTTCCAGGGTATACAGTCCCTGGTATGGGGCCGTAGCTCTAAAAGGCTTCTCCCAGAGACACTGCCTTCTTCATCCACCCAGCTGGGGCCCATTTTGGTACCCGCAGCTGGTGGTGTTTCAGCAGGCCTCCCTAGGCTCAGTCTTCAGCCAGACCAGCAGGGGTCATCTCGGGACCCTCGCTGGCCTGCACAGGTTCTGTGCCCAGTTTCCCTGGGCTTCAGCCTGCCCACACTGACTGGAGTCTTCCCTTTCTGGGATATGAAGGTACCTGCTCTGGGTTTTAGGAGCCCCTTTGATCATGAGTGTCTGGCAATGTGTGTTCCCAGTAGACATGGGCACAGTTAAATTCCTCATAAGAAGAGTGTCCTGCACCTTTGAGCACCTGGGGAACTGGCCCCAGGATTTTACTCATTTAATATGGTCTGGAGTTAAAATAACAGAACTTTCTGAGTGGGTGACAAATGTCCTATGAATTCACCTGATCTCACTTGTCTTCTTTCCCCTCGGCAGGGTTTCCAGTTTCCAAACCTGATGTAATCTCCCAACTGGATCGAGGGGAAGAGCCATGGGCCTCAGATCTCCAGGGATCAGAGGAAAGAGAGATCCTGAGCAGCTCCTGCACAGGTGAGCAATCATTAAACCAACTCAGAAACTGTCAGTACCTGAAGGAAAAGCTGGGATTCGCAACAAAGACCTTGTGAGGTCTCTGAATTCAGGATTGTCCCCACCAGGTGTCGTATTCTCAGGGCAGATATTGCTCATGGTTTCCTACCCATCCTACCTCCTGGCAGTAGCCCTGTAACGATGCTGGTTCTGGTGGGACCCAACTGAGAGTGCCGATTCAGGACAAACTGCTTAAAGCAGGGCAGTTACAACCCAAGGCTGGGGTTTTTCCACCTCTGAGGCAAACCAAACCAGCCAGACAAAGAGGACTTTGGTTTTAACCCACTGGCTAACCACAAGTCACACAAGCAATTCCCTTAGACACTCCAGTTTCCCAGTATCACCACCAGTGCCACTCGTTATGGGGACAAATGGTTATGAAAACCAAGACCCCAGTAAAAGAAAAAAGGTTCTCTCGATCCCACAGCACCAAGCCCCAGACCCAGGTCAATATGCAAATCAGATCTTACCCACAAATCACGCTATTGCCAATCCTTTAGAATCTAAAATCTAAAGGTTTATTCATAAAAGGAAAAAGATATAGATGAGAGCTAGAATTGGTTAAATGGAATCAATGACATACAGTCATGGCAAAGTTCTTGGTTCAGGCTTGTAACAGTGATCGAATAAACTGCAGGTTCAAATCAAGTCTCTGGAGTGCATCCACAGCTGGGATGGGTCTTTCAGTCTTTGGTTCAAAGCTTCAGTGTAGCAAAGTTCCTCCAGAGGTATGAAGCAGGATTGAAGACAAGATGGAGATGAGGCATTGGCCTTTTATAGTCTTTTCCAGGTGTAAGAACATCTCTTTGTTCTTACTGTGGAAAATTACAGCAAAATGGAGTTTGGAGTCACATGGGCAAGTCCCTGCATACCTTGCTGACACAAGGTGTATCTGCCTTCTCTCAGTGGGTCAGTTGTATAGCTGATGGTCCTTAATGGGCCATCAAGCAGGCTAGGCAGAGCTGACACCAACTTGTCTGGGGTGTCACTCAGAAGCATAGCATAAGTTTGAAATACAGACAGTATAGAGCCAATATTCATAACTTTAACTACAAAAATGATACACACATATAGAGAGCATAATCATAACCAGCAAACCATAACCTTGTCTTAGACACCTTATTTGACCCCCTTTATACAAGATTTGGTGCCACTACAGGACCTTGGTTGCAACAATGATCTACACGGTCCCAGATTATGTCAATAACGTCACAAGCCCCTTCCCTGAACTCGCTTCTCCCTGAGTGTTTGGATGCAAACTGGATGCAGAATTGATCCCCTCTTCTCTCCTCTTTGGGGATTTTTTTTTCCATCTGCAGCTGCTTTTTTAATTTGTTCTCCCCTTATCAATTCCTGTTTCTGAGGTTTTTCTTTCTCTGTCCCAGCAGGTGATGGGATGGTGAGTGAGACCATGAAGCAGAATCCTCAGCAGGAAGATGATGAGCAAGTGGAGCCAACTGGGGCGTTACTGCAAAGATGCAAAGGGAGTGTGTCCAGGAGTTGTGAGCAGGGAAAAGCCTGTGAAAGTCAGCACATTCCAGAGAAGTGGCAGGGAAACCAGCCAATGCAGAAATTTGGTAAATCTGTTAATTATCACGGAACTCACAAAGGCCTCAAGGAAACCACAGCCCAGCAGGGAATACCCATGGGAGAAAAAAATAACACATGCACTGAGTGTGGGGAAAAGTTCAGTAGGCACTCACACCTTATTAGCCATCAGAGAATCCATACTCGAGAGCAACCCTATGCATACTGTGAGTGCGGGAAAACCTTCGCTCAGAGCTCAGCCCTTATTAAACATCACAAAGTCCACACAGGGGAGAAACCCTATGAATGCTGTGAGTGTGGGAAAATCTTCACTCGGAGCTCAACCCTCATTGCACATCAGAGAATCCACACAGGGGAGAAACCCTATAAATGCTGTGAATGTGGGAAAACCTTCACTCTTAGCTCAACCTTGATTGCACATGAGAGAATCCACACAAGGGAGAAACCCTATGAATGCTGTGAGTGTGGGAAAACCTTCACTCAGCGCTCAAACCTTATTACACATAAGAGGATCCATACAGGGGAGAAACCCTATGAATGTTGTGAATGCAAGAAAACCTTCACTCAAAGGGCATCCCTTATTAGCCATCAGAGAATCCATACGGGGGAAAAACCCTATGAATGCTGGGAGTGCGGGAAAACCTTCATTGTGATCTCAAATCTTATTAAACATCAGAAAAACCACACAGGGGAGAAACCCTACGAATGCAGTGAGTGTGGGAAAACCTTCGCTTGGAGCTCAAACCTTAGTTCACATCAGAGAATCCATACAGAAGAGAAACCATATAAATGTAGTGAATGCGGGAAAACCTTCACTCAGATCTCACACCTTATTACACATCAGAGAATCCATACGGGGGAGAAACCCTATGAATGCCATGAGTGCGGGAAAACCTTCACTCGGAGTTCAATCCTTATTATACATCACAGAATCCATACAGGGGAGAAACCCTACGAGTGCTGTGAGTGCGGGAAAACCTTCACTCAGAGCTCAACCCTTATTACACATCAGAAAATCCACACAAGAAAGAAACCCTATGAATGATGACAGACAGGGTTCAGAGTAGCAGCCATGTTAGTCTGTATCCGCAAAAAGAACAGGAGGACTTGTGGCACCTTAGAGACTAACACATTTATTTCAGCATAAGCTTTCGTGGGCTAAACCCCACTTCATCGGATGCATGCAGTGGAAAATATAGTAGGAAGATAGATAGATATATACACACACACAGAACGTGAAACAATGGGTGTTATCATACACACTATAACGAGAGTGATCAGTTAAGCTATTACCAGCAGGAGAGAAAAAAAACCTTTTGTAGTGATGATCAAGATGGGCTATTTCCAGCAGCTGACAAGAATGTGTGAGGAATTGGGGGGGGCGGAGGGGGGAATAAACATGAGGAAATAGTTTTAGTTTGTGTAATGACACATCCAGTCCCAGTCTTTATTCAAGCCTAATTTAATGGTGTCCAGTTTGCAAATTAATTCCAGTTCAGCAGTCCAACGAGAGACTGATCACTCTCGTTATAGTGTGTATAACTGTATTTTCCACTGCATGCATCCGATGAAGCCCATGAAAGCTTATGCTCAAATAAATGTGTTAGTCTCTAAGGTGCCACAAGTCCTCCTGTTCTTCCTATGAATGATGTGAGGCAGGAAAACCTTCACTCAAGAGCTTAAATCTTAATACACATCAGAAAATTCACAAAGGGGAGTACCCCTAGGAATGCTGTGAGTGCAGGAAAACCTTTGCTCATGGCTCACACCTTAGTGGGCATCAAAGGATCCACAAAGGAGAGATCCTATGAATTCTCTGAATGTGGGAAATTCTGTCAGAGTTCAGCCCTTATTTATTATCAGACAAGCTGCAAGGGAGATAAATACCATAAAAACCTTGATTAGGGCTGAGAAAAGATTTTATTTTCCTTTTGCTAATTCCTACATAATGAACTTCAAGGCAGCATTTGTGTCATCGTGGTCTCTCAGCTCCACCAGCTGAGTTGTCTGCTTTTCCCTTTTGCACTCACTCTTCCTTGGGGTCAATCTCAGAATTTTTTCTTTTTCACCAACTCCTTTGTCCTATGTCATGGAAGTGTGTGTCCCTCCAACAGGACTGTCCATCAGCCCCAGGTGGGGAAGTGGGAGGCACTTCAACTAGGTGCATAGAAGTTAAATCTACCTGGGCCCTGACTGCACTGGTTAGCTATCTTGATGTAAAAACACAACTATTTTTTCAAGAAAGAAAATAGCCCATGTATAGTGGCCAGGGAAATTTAGCAAATTTCCTCAAGACCTGACATAACTTCCGTAACTTCTCCTAGTCTAAACATATTTGGAGCATCATATTCATACTTTTCCTCCCACTGTAAACTGATTGTTAGTCACCAGGTTCCCCCACTAGGGACAAATTGTCTCATTCCCAGTTGTTCTCACAATGCACTGGCTTGTGCTGAATAGCAGTTGGGTTTTGTATCATTTTTCTTATTTTAAATATAACAAGGAGCAGGATTAGGGATAGGAAAATACGTTTTTTCAACTTCTGTGACACCTGAAGTGGTGAGTTGGAGGGATTCCCACGTTCAGAATTAGCTCAACAGTATTTCCTCTGTTTGAACCATGTAGAATTTATCTTCTACACATGCTACAACTCTACCTCTCTATGTTTCATTTGTGTCAATGTTCTCAGTCCTCTGCTTGGGACTCACACTTTGTTTTCTTTGATCTTAAAACCTAGTAAATTAGGTCTTGAAATGAAGTTGGCAGAGACCTGGAAAGGGAATTTGAATGGATCTCAAACACAGTGCCATCATTTGGAGTTTAAATCCCAGTTTCCAACTGTTAGCAAAGGAGTTTTCCTACTAAGATGGGGTGGTTTACAGATGGGAAGGTTGGCTGGGTTTTTGTTTTGTTCTGTTTTTGTTTTTTCATTACAATGATTCTAGAACTTTTGTAAATAATACAACTCAACACTAATGAGTGAAGCAGGTTTGAATGGATCAGAGGAGAATCTCTTGTCTTGGTTTTGAGTCAACACATTCAACACATGCTCTGGAATTTCTAGTTCTATGAAACTGGATGTACCATATCTCTCTGTGATGTGGGTTTTTCTTCTTTTTTGAGTGCCATTTGGTCACATAACAGGATATTAATTTGATTCGTCAGACTGTGGCTCTGATTTATTGGGGACTTTGAGAAAATGACTGTTTTAGCAAGTAGCCATTTCTCAGTTTATTTTTGCTTTTTCCCTGCCCCCCCTGCCCCCCCCCCCCCATGATGACATGGAGAAACTTCAAGTGCAGTTCAGTCAACAGGAGAGAATACTCTGAGTTATTGGACATATCACCAACTGTTTTTAAATCTCCAGTCTGAAATGGTGAACAACAGCGTGCCCCAAATTATACAACTAATGGAAGTAACTGAATACAGTCACAGTGCTGTTCAATTGTTTAGGTCAATATTGTCTCAGATGATCTGGGTACAGGATTCTTCAGTAAGTGATTAGGAACTAGGCAAAAGGCTCGTATATGTGTTTCCCAAGGCAGTTGTGATGCAGGGTCTTGTGACAGACTTGTTCACACCCTGCACACTATTACAGTATTTTTGTATAAGGCATGTCTTGTGAGGTACCATTTAAAAATCCATAATTTGCTGATCAATAGTATGGAAAAGTACACATAGCAGCATTGTATGTAACATAATAAACAAGCTGAAATCATGGCTAAAAGTATGTTTGGCAGATAAATCTGAGGAATGGCCAAAAGCAGTTCCTCAGAGACCAAGGGCAAATGACACCTCAGCCAAGTGTAAACAAGGCTGGTGCACCATTACCTGCTAAGTGGCCATTCTTTGGCAGGAAAGGGGGCCAGAGCAAAAATACCTGCATTTTAGGCCTTGTCTGCACTACAGAGTTTTGTCAACAAAATTAGGCCGCTTTAATTAAAGCGCTTTAATTAAACTGCTGTTGCGTGTTCACACTATGCTTCTTGTGTTGGCAGAGCGCATCCACACTAGTAGGTCTTGCACTGACCCAGAAAGCAGTGCACCGTGCAGCAGGAGACAGGCTGCTTTGGGAAGGGCTTGCAATGCCTTATGGAGCAGGTATAGCGTCACATGATGCAGGTTTCTCAATCCCATTGTTCCATGGGCATCCTACTAGATTACCAGCCGCTTTTCAATGGAAGTGTGTGTTGGGGGGGGGGGAGAGACAAAGACAGAGTGTGTTTTGAGGGAGAGTGAGTATGTTGGCATCCTGTTTCTTTAAGTTCAGACAGCAACTAGTCCTGAGGTAGGACACCCTACCCCTGCCTCTGCACAGCAGAGCAGTCCCACCCACAGCAGCAGCCTACCTGCCGCTGTGTTCCTAGTGTGGGGGAGAGCAGGAGGATTCCACGTTAATGATTTGCTCTTTGCTGCTGGAACAGAGCAGCATGCTCAGCTGTCAGAACTTCCTAGAGCTTTGAAAGGGGAGTGGCACATGCCTGCAGGGCAGCCGAATTCAAAACAGTGAGCAGAGTGGTCACAGCGGGCATTCTGGGATACTGGGGGATGCCAGTTATGGCGACATAATGAATTGCAGTATATATACTGATGCTTTGTCACTTCAACTTTTCAGGAAGAGGCTCTGTCTCTCTCATCTAAGTGGTTTTGTTTTGCCACAAAAAGTAGCATTGTAGCGTGTGCATCCCCGCTGTTCTGTTGGCAAAAGCAACCTTTTGCTGACAAAACTGTGTAGTGTAGACAAGGCCTTAGCAAAGAAACAGCATGTTCTTGTCCACACAGACTGCCTGTAGGCTTGCTCCCAGCTGGAAATGCTTCTCAAAGGGGGAACAGGACTATAAAAAGAAGGGGCAGACACCCCTCAAAACACTTCCCTCTCTCTCCCTGTCCATTGCATTCTCTGCCACTGAGAAGACAAAATGACACAGCTGTCGAGCTTTGGGGGAGGGGTCCTGGCCTAAAGAGTTTGGTCAGTGAGACCGCTGAAGCATGTAGGTGAGAAAATTTTGCTTTGAAACTAAAAATTTCTTAAGTATGTGTTAGTGAGCATTTATCTTTATTTTTCTTGTAACCATTTTTGACTTTTATGCCTCATTACCTGTACTTAATAAATCTGTTTCTTTGTACTTAATAAACTTGTTTTCTGTTTTATACAAGCCAGTGCATTTAAACTGAAGTTTCTGAATAACTAAGGCTATGTTTATGTCACGGAGGTCATGGAAGTCACAGAATCCATAACTTCCAAAGACCTCCATGACATTCTCTGCTTCAGCCCCAGGGGCTGCGGCACTCTGGAGCTGGCAACCAGCGGGGCCCTGACAGGGTTCCAGCCACAGTGACGGGGGGACCCTGCAAGGTTCCAGCGACAGGTGACAGACTCCTGAGGGAGCCCTCCTCAGGGTTCCAGCAAGGGGTGACAGCCTCATGCGGGGTGAGGGGGACACCTCGGGTGAGTGGCTGGGGGTGTCCCATTTTCTCTTTGGGAAATATGGTTACCCTGCAGCTCTCAGCCGCCCTGGGCAGAGGCCATGGACGGAGGGGGATCCTCACAGCTCCCAGCAGCAAAAGTCACAGACAGGTCACGGTGTCTTTGAATTTTTGTTTATTGTCCGTGACCTGTCTGTGACTCTTACTAAAAATAATCATGACAAAATAAACAAAATAAATGGTTTATCATGAAAATAAAATAAATATTTTCATAAATATTTTCATAAATAAACAAAAATAAAAATTTTTGTTTATTGTCCGTGACCTGTCTGTGACTCTTACTAAAAATAATCATGACAAAATAAACAAAATAAATGGTTTATCATGAAAAATAAACCATTGAAATAAATTGGCATATTATTCTCTTAAAGGTTTATTGGACGTCAAATATGTTGTACTGTCCAGGAGAGGGCTGGGCAGTACAGGACATACATTTCTGGGGGAAGATCTGGGACTGGTCATGTGTTGGGGGTCACCCTGCAGTATAACCAAGGCTGAGGTAAGGCAGAGTGTAACCCAAGTGCGGCTGGCAGGCTGCAGTTACACACACACATTCAGGGTGTGTCTTGCATGCTGGAAGGCTGTTTGTGAGTGGCCCAGGTGGGAGCTACTTCAGCAAGGCATTGTAAGGCACCCAAGGTTGCAGAGCAGGGGTGAGAGAGCTACTCATTAGGCTGGATTGTACTCTGGTATGTCACAGCTCTGCAGGACGTTACTCCTGAAGTCATCTCCTAGCTAAGCCTGTGGTTTGGGAAATGCTGTCCCTAACTATGGCGACGTGGAGGAAATAGAAGTGTGTTTTTGTTGAAGTAGGAACTGCAAATGTGTGTGAAATATAATCAGTGTTGAAGTTGAGAGACCTGCCGGAAAATAAATAACTATTTTTGTTTAGAAACCCCCTCTGAGGTAGCCAACAGAGATTGTGATGTAGGCTTATGTCTAGTTCTTAACTGACACCTGTGCCACCAGTTTAAAGAAATAAACCGGCCATGTTTGCAGAAGCTATTGCTGACTAGCACTGCTGAGATTTTGGGTGGTTTGTTAAAAGAATATACTCCAGGGAAGTGTACATTTAGCACGGTGAAGGGTTTGGCAAGAACTCAGATAGAAATAGCAGGCACTCACCTGTTGGTTTTCACCTCAGAGAAGGAAGCTATGGAGAGCTATGGTCCATAGAATCATAGAATATCAGGTTTGGAAGGGACCTCAGGAGGTCATCTAGTCCAACCCCCTGCTCAAAGCAGGACCAATCCCCAACTAAATCATCCCAGCCAGGGCTTTGTCAAGCCTGACCTTAAAAGCCTCTAAGAAGGAGATTCCCCCAACTCCCTAGGTAACCCATTCCAGTGCTTCATCACCCTCCTAGTGAAATAGTTTTTCCTAATATTCAACCTAAACCTCCCCCACTGCAACTTGAGACCATAGATTCTTGTTCTGTTGTCTGGTATCACTGAGAATAGTCTAGATCCATCCTCTTTGGAACCCCCTTTCAGGAAGTTGAAAGTAGCTATCAAATCCCCCCCTCATTTTTCTCTTCTGCAGACTAAACAATCCCAGTTCCCTCAACCTCTCCTCGTAAGTCATGTGTTGCAGTCCCCTAATCATTTTTGTTGCCCTTTGCTGGACTCTTTCCAATTTTTTCACATCCTTCTTGTAGTGTGGGGCCCAAAACTGGACACAGTACTCCAGATGAGGCCTCACCAATGTCGAATAGAGGGGAACGATCACGTCCCTCCATCTGCTGGCAATGCCCCTACTTATACGTCCCAAAATGCCATTGGCCTTCTTGGCAACAAGGGCACGCTGTTGACTCATATCCAGCTTCTCGTTCGCTGTAACCCCAGGTCCTTTTCTGCAGAACTGCTGCCGAGCCATTCGGTCCCTAGTCTGTAGCAGTGCATGGGATTCTTCCATCCTAAGTGCAGGACTCTGCCCTTGTCCTTGTTGAACCTCATCAGATTTCTTTTGGCCCAATCCTCCAATTTGTCTAGGTCCCTCTGTATCCTATCCCTACCTTCCACCATATCTACCACTCCTATCAGTTTAGTATCATCTGCTAACTTGCTGAGGGTGCAATCCACGCCAACCTCCAGATCGTTTATGAAGATATTGAAGAAAATCGGCCCCAGGATCGACCCTTGGGGCACTCTGCTTGATCCGGCTGCCAACTAGAAATGGAGCCATTGATCACTACCCGTTGAGCCCGACGATCTAGCCAGCTTTCTATCCACCTTATAGTCCATTCATCCAGCCCATACTTCTTTAACTTGCTGGCAAGAGTACTGTGGGAGACTGTATTAATAGCTTTGCTAAAGTCCAGATAAAACACGTCCACTGTTTCCCCCTGTTTTTACACTGTTTTAAAACGGGTTTTAGAATACCACTCCCTGCTTCAGTGGCATTGATTACAGCCCCAAAGGATACCAGGGTTAGATGGGAAACAATTGTTCTTTACCATTTGGCACCAAAGTGTCATGAGGAAAAGAGAGAAACAGCTGGTGCCTGTTAGGATATAGATATTCAGGCCTGTCTGTAAAGGCCTATACTCTAAGAATTTAGGTGTATTCTTATCACTTAGCTAGTTATAGAGGTATAAAAGAAAGAATCAAAATCACTGTCTGCCGGTGTAAGGTCCTTTTCTTACTGTGACAGTCTGAGGCCCTGTTCTTAGGCTAAGGCCTTTGGCTACACAGCAGAGGCAGCCATAAGCTGGGAAGCGAACGGTCACGTCCTCACATTCCAAACTAGTCACACTGAAATAAGGTGCTATTGGGCTGTTAGGAATACACTCCTGTCCTGATAATGCCTATTGCCGCCAGAGAAAGGGAAGTGCCTAGAAGATGAAAAAGGAAACTTAGTTTGATAGCATCCTGTCTGGCAAGAACTCACTTATCAATAGCTGGGATGTGAAATCCTCACTTCTGTGTTTGTTCTATCACTGTAGTCCCCATTTCCCTATTGTTTGTATAATCTCTGTCTGGTTCTGTGATTGTTTCTGTCTGCTGTATAATTAATTTTACTGGGTGTAAACTAATTAAGGTGGTGGGATATAATTGGTTAAATAATCATGTTACAATATGTTAGAATTGGTTAGTTAAATTTCAGTAAAATGATTGGTTAAGGTATAACTAAGCAGAAGTCGAGTTTTACTATATAGTCTGCAGTCAATCAGGAAGTGAGTGGGTGGGTGGGGGAATGGGAACAGGGAATGGGGGTGGGGAAATTGGAATCATGTTTTACTAAGGGGGGGGAATGGGAACAGGGACACAGGTGTAAGGCTCTGTGGTGTCAGAGCTGGGAAGGGGGACACTAAGGAAGGAAACTGGAATCATGCTTGCTGGAAGTTCACCCCGATAAACATCGAATTGTTTGCACCTTTGGACTTCGGGTATTGTTGCTCTCTGTTCATGCAAGAAGGACCAGGGAAGTAAGTGGGTGAAGGAATAAGCCCCCTAACAGTGCCTTCACAGGACATTCCTTGCCTATGGATTCCAATCTGGCTGCCTGGCTGGACAAAAAGGACATTTGTGATGTGTGTGTTATGTTGGATCATGTTAAAGAAGTTCTGTATTAAAATCACAAATGAGTTTGATTCCCCATAGTTTAAATTCCAGGGTATTACTAATTAAGAGGTCTTTTGGTTTTTGGTCTCTTGTTTTTACTGTTTCTCTCCCCCCTGTGTGAAACTTGCAAGCTGCTAATTGTGTTAGTACATCCTAAGACAGAGTCTGTTCTCAAAGCAATTCTTTGTAACAACAACTACTCACACAGAGAGAGACTCAAAGCGATACTTTGTAACAACAGAAACAGCACCCAGAGACTCCCCACCCTTTTGTTATATTTATCTCGCCCTTTTGTTATATTTATCTCGCTTTGTTAACAATTGTGATTAAAATAGAGATAGAGGATGTATGTGATGGATGCTTGGTGTGGATAATAAATGAATGATCAGGGAGGTGCCAGCCTAAGAATCCAGTGTTGATCGGCCTAAGAAGGCGTCAAGTGGAAACAACCAGTGGACCCCCAGAGGGCAAACTGGAATCCACCCAACAGCCTCAAGGATGGGAGAACCGAAGAACTAGATAACATCTGGCAGCACGGAGCCGTCAGGAATGTGCTATCTGCTGATTGATTCAGCAACAGCATGATGAAGGAATTCCCATAGACTGGCATAGGAATAAATTCCTATAAAAATGGACTCTAGAAAGTGAGAACTTTGGGGTCTGACTCTGCAAACCAACTTCCAGCAGCATCGGATGAGCATCTGACAAGCCCCTGCTCCCTCCTCATGGCCAGGCCACCTGGCCAGTGCCTTGGCACGAGCAACTCTAAGGCTGGTAACTATAATAACAACCTTGCAGAACCTGTGTGTGTATGAATGAATAAATATGCGATTGAATGGAATGTTATAGCTATAACTAACTGCTTACTATGAGTCTTTCTGTATTCACAATAAATGTGCTGTTTTGCCATATCCCATTTAATAAGATCCTGCTGGTTTTTATTTTATTGGTATAACATGTAAATGATGGTAACCACACTTTCACCCTTTGTCAATGGGACACTCCACATCCCAGGGGAGTGCCCTGTAGCTCCATATTCATGCGTATAAAGCAGGCCATGTGAGGTATCGTGGGAAAAGTTATGATCTGCTGAAACCCACTGTTCC